TGCCAATCCTTTATCACGCTTTTTCCTGACTCTGGGACTTCCAGGGAAACGAGTTATAAGCAGAGTCAACCCTGCGTTGCGCAGTTCGCAACGGCACGTTGAGAGATCCTCAACGCACGCTGTATGGGCGGAGACGCAGACGGCTCGAGCATGCGAGTGTGAATGTTCGCGCGAGAGAACGTGTCTAATCGGGCGAAACTGCGCAACGCAGGGTTGACTCTGGTCATAAGCCTAATTTTCAAACTCCGCCCACTTTGATGTAAGCCACGCCCATCCCTGACATTTAGCTTCCCCTCCCCTCCTGACCTCTATCCGTTGTTTTCCGGTCTCTAAGTCATCTCGGAGCCGATTTATGAGCTCTTGTAGAAAATGCTGTCCGCTTCACGACACGCTCCGCCCATTGTGGGCGGGCCTCCGTTCACATCATGCGTGCTGGAAATACCTTAGGCATTGCTCCCCTGCACTAATTTCGTTTCTGGTCTGTAGGCTTCTTCTTAACCGAGTTATGAATATTTTCACTGAGCACCGCTTTTTTAGAGAACGCCCCGCCCACCGAGGGTGGGTCTCCTCAGTTCAATCTGGCTTACCAACCCACACCTATGCCCACTTTTGTCCCGGTCTCGAGGCTGTTTTGTGACTGAATTTGAAATCATGGTCCTCAGTACCACTCATTTCGACGCACGCCACGCCCACTGTGGGCGGGGCTCCGCTTAGGTAATGTATGTTTTTTACTTCTCGAGATATGGTACACCCATCCCAAACATGACCTGGACCCAGTAGGTTGTTGTCCGCTTAATACGGAATTTCGTGACAGATAGACAGACAGACAGACAGACAGACTTAGCGCATTATATATAGTAGGGATGATATGGCGCTGGGCGCTTCAAGTTTTATTTTCCGTAACAAACAATTGATTTGAAATATAACCACCACCGTGATCACTGATATGCATCCGTTTACAAGGGACGAATGGATGCATTTCTCTTAGAACGAGTTAAGCCGTGGGATGAAGAGATCGGAGAGCTCATTTTGAGACGGTTGAATTCACTTTCGATATTGATTTTTCTGTCGAGCTGCACCTAACGCCGGACAGAGGAGGAACATTACGATGGAGCAACGTCAGGGACACACGTCAGATGTGGCATCGCGGTCCAATCTGTTCCCCTCAAGACACGGCTAGTTATTTTAAACGGCCGGACATTTGTTTGAAGGAAGGATTTCGAGACGTTTCGAGCAATTCTCTCGCTTTGCGGCAGCCACCTTGGGGAGATATTCCATAATTATCTTTGCAATGCTTAACACGTTGGCGACATTGTGATGCGCATGCGCCTGCACAGGTGAGCACCGTGTGGGACCGTGTGCAGCGCATGCGCTGCACACACAAATATTTATTTTTTTCGCGCATGCGCTACTTCTTTTCTAATTTTTTGCATCTATTCCATAGACTACACCATAATATGACTAGACACGGCGAGGTTCATTGAATGGTTGAATATGCTCCTTTTTAGCGAAGGTTTTCTAAGCCCTACGAATTTCCCAATTGTGTTATTCCTAGTTTCTTTTTTATGACCAAGATTATCAGAATATAAAGGAAACTAGGAATGAACACAATTGGGAAATTCGTAGGGCTTAGAAAACCTTCGCTAAAAGGAGCATATTCAACCATTCAATGAACCTCGCCGTGTCTAGTCATATTATGGTGTAGTCTATAGAATAGATGCAAAAAATTAGAAAAGAAGTAGCGCATGCGCGAAAAAAATAAATATTTTGTGTGTGCAGCGCATGCGCTGCACACGGTCCCACACGGTGCTCAAGGTGTGATGCGCATGCGCTGCACAATGTCGTCAACGTGTTAAGCATTGCAAAGATAATTATGGAATATCTCCCCAAGGTGGCTGCCGCAAAGCGAGAGAATTGCTCGAGACGTCTCGAAATCCTTCCTTCAAACAAATGTCCGGCCGTTTAAAATAACTAGCCGTGTCTTGAGGGGAACAGATTGGACCGCGATGCCACATCTGACGTGTGTCCCTGACGTTGCTCCATCGTAATGTTTCCTCCTCTGCGCGTTAGGTGCAGCTACGACAGAAAATTCTCAAATACGAAAGTGAATCAACCGTCTCAAAAATGAGCTCTCCGATCTCTTCATCCCACGGCTTAACTCGTTCTAAGAGAAATGCATCCATTCGTCCCTTGTAAACGGATGCATATCAGTGATCACGGTGGTGGTTATATTTCAAATCAATTGTTTGTTACGGAAAATAAAACTT